AAGTGAGCAATTGAGTTATTTTCACAAAGGTTCTCAACATAGAGATATAATAAGTTAAACCAATCAATTAAGGTTAATTTCTCTCGAGAGTACTAATTAACTAAATTTGAAAAATCGTGTCTAACATCGTAATTGAGTAATTTGTTAATGGTTTTTGGAAAAATTAATTAGGCCAGGATTAAGCGAAACTATGAATCCCAACCATGTTTTCTTAGTTTGTAGAGTTTTAGTTTATTTTCCTTATTTTCAAATCATAATGTTAATTGTGTGTGTTATTTTAATTGTTAGAGTTAAATTACTTAAAGTTGTGTAATAGAAAGTAAATATTTCCCAAGAAATCGACAACTTGGGCTAAATTAGTTTTTCACTCTCAGTTGAAGGATCTTTGGACATCTTGGCAAAGGACATTTACAGCCTATTTGGGAGTGATTTTTTCCTCCCAAAAAATTGATTTTTTGACCGCTATTTCACTATTTCAGCCGTCATATCTGACGGGGTGAGGCGTCTATTCATAGGCGTCAAACAGCCTCGTCTATAGAGTGAGAGGGTAATAACTTCTCCTGAATTGAGTTGACATAAAGTTGATACGTCACATCAACTAGGTCCTTGGAGACGTCAAATTAATTAAGACTTGTGGGCAGAGAGGATCTTGACATAGATCTCTTTCTGAAAGTGGCAGCGGATCCACTGAAGGAGAACCTTGGAGTGCATTGCGCTTCGGCGTTAAGGACACTTCGATCGGTTCGGTAGAATTGCTTTGTGCCTCACAGAGCGTTAGCAGGGTGGTGGAGTCACTTCGGACCACTTCGAATTGGTGGTGGACACCTCGTATGATGCAGTGGTAGACTTTTCGAAGTGGTTCATATAGGGGCGTAACAGTTACCATACCAAAATCGCCATTACATCGCTCCTCTACGCCAGATCAGTAGAGAGAGGGTCAGGTTTGGGGGGCTTTTGTTAGAGGTAAAGGTGGGCTCATTAGCTCCGGAGTTGAAGCATATGAAGGTGAAGTGTGTTTCTTGCTGTGAGACAGAGCCTTAGCTGGAGTCTTACATGGGTGCATAAAAGTCGTTCTGGTGGTGTTGATGTCTTGGGAGCTGGAGATAGTGGATATTGATTCGGACCACAAAACGAAGATTAATGATGTTATGGGTTCAATTGGACACGATTAGAAGTTAAAGGGATGAAATTGCAAGAAAAATATATAAAAGAATCAAGAATTAAAATCGAGGACTAAAATGTAACATTTGAAAGTTGATATAACTGAGCGAATGCCCAATTATATCCGCCCAATTATAATGCAATATTTCCATGTCATACGTATTTTTAATTATTTTTGTATTTAAGTTTGTGTTTTAATAAAGTATGGCATTTTATTTTAAAATACTACACAAATTACCAAAATTAACCTACTTAAATACAAAAATAATTAAAAAGTATGGAATTTTATTTTAAAATACTACACAAATTACCAAAATTAACCAAACAAATGATTTGGTGGTATCGTCACTCAATAATCCATAGGAAAAAATAACTACATGAATTGAGATGACCAAATTTTCATATGAAATTTATGAATAATTATGTATTTACAACAACATCCATTTTTTGCTTTTTACATAAACATCCATAAAAAAATAATAAATAAATAAATAAATTCAAGATCAACAAAATTATAGCTTCGAAGGAGAAAAGGGAAAATATCTTGGCTCTATATAAAAAAGAGGATGTGAGGAGTACTGTTCATTTTTTGTACGTGTTTGCACTAATCTAATTTTGAACGAGTTTTCTTTTTTGTTGAGTGTGAAAATGTTGTATTGGGAATACAAATGGGTGAATTGTTGTGTGCGTTCGTTGCACGAACCAAATTGTGACTATCATTTTACACCAATATTTAAAAAAAAAAAAAACTAAATGATTTAACGAATTATTGTAGACAAAAAAATTATTATAAAGTTTTTTACTAAATTGAAATAATTAAAATTAATAATATTTGTGATAAGAACTGTTCATTTTTTGTACGCATTCACACTTGACTGGTTTCAAACGAGTTTTTTTTTTTTTTTTGTTATGTGTAGAAAGGTTGTGTTGGGAATATAAATGACTGAATTGTTATGTGACGTGCGTTGCACGAATCAAATTGTGATTATCATTTTACACCAACACTAATAAAACAAACTAAATGATTTAACGAATTATTGCAGGCAAAAATTAAAAAAAATTATTATAAATTTTTTACTTAAATTGAAATAATTAAAATTATAAATAAATACTATTTCATTAATTAAAATTGAAAAAAATATGTTTTATAATAAAATGAAAAGAATTAAAAAAATTAAGTCAAACAAAACATTATTTATAATACGAAGAAAAAAATTTGAAACAATTTTCAAAAAATATATAATAAAAACAAAACAAATATGAAGAAAAAAGAAATTTTAAAATAATTTTCAAATAATATATAATAAAAACAAAAGAAATTAAACAAAAGAATGTCACGAAAATTAAATAAAGAATATATAAATATTATTTAATTAAAATTAAAAAAATTAAATTTTATCATCAAGAGAAAAAAGAATTTAAAAACATTTTAAATCGAAAATAATTTATTTAAATGATGAACAAAACAAATTTCAGAAAAAAAATAAAAAATAAAAATTCTCTCCATAACACGGATAATTACGGAGAGACTCTCTCCAAATTTTATTTTATTTTTTTTAATATGTTTTGTTTATATTATAAATATTTTTCTTTTCGATTTAAATATATTTTTAATTCTTTTCTCTTTATGATAAAACTTAATTTTTTTCAATTTCAATTAAATTAATTTTCATAATATTATTTTGTTTAATTTGTTTGTTTTTATTATATTTTTTTAAAATTGTTTTAAAATTTATTTTTCCTCATATTATAAATAATTTTTGTTCGGTTGAAATATTTTTTATTTTTTTTGTTTTGTGAAAAACTTAATTTTTTCAATTCTAATTAAATAATATTTATTTTTAATATTAATTATTTCAATTTTATTTATAAATAATATTTTTTTCGATTTAATTTTTTTAATTCTTTCTTTTCTCTTTATTATTAAACTTACTTTTTTCAATTGTAATTAAATATTATTTATATATTCGTTATTTAATTTTCGTAACTTTCTTTTGTTTAACTTATCATATTTTTGTAAAAAAAGTTTTAAAATTTTATTTTTCTTCATTTTATAAATATTTTTTTCCAATTTAAAATTCTTTTTAATTCTTTTCATTTATGATAAAATGTAAATTTTTTAATTTTTATGAATAAAAAGGAAATTCTAAAACAATTTTCGAAAATATATAACAAAAAAAATTAAACAAAAGAATGTTACAAAAATTAAATAAAGAATATATAAATATTATTTAATTAAAATTGAAAAAAAAAATTAAGTTTCATCATAAAGAGAAAAGAATTAAAAAAAAAAAAATTAAATCGAAACCTTCCATTAGCAATGGAGAATCTCCAATTTTTTATTTATTTTTTATTTTCTCGGTTTATATTATAAATACTTTTCTTTTCAATTTAAAATTCTTTTCTTTTAATGAGAAAACTCATTTTTTTTCAATTTTAATAAATAATATTTATATAATCTTTATTTAATTTTCGTAATATTCTTTTGTTTAATTTCATTTGTTTTTATTATATTTTTTTAAAATTGTTTTAAAAATTCTTTTTCCTCATATTATAAATAATTTTTTTTTCGATTTAAATTTTTTTATTTTTTTTGTGATAAAACGTAATTTTTTCAATTTTAATTAGATAATATTTAATTTTAATTTTAATTATTCCTTGTGATAACTGTAATTGAAACTTACAATTATCATAAAACATTATTTTCAGGTCATGTGGTAACTCTATAAAGTATTGAAACTTACAACTATCATAGAAGTTTTAAACTTAATTACAATTCTTATAAAGTTTTGAACTTAATTGTCATTAAAATTTATAAACTTAACTGAAATTGTAATTATAAACTTATTATAATGTTGTAATTGTAATTGCCATTGTAATTTCTCAGTTAGTGAGAAGAAAAAGCGTTTGCTTATTTTTAATTTAATTCAATGCAAAAAGCAACGATAAGGAAATTTATTGACTGTGGAAGGTGATGAGAAAGCGGGCTTATCATTTTTTTAATTCAACGCTATACGATAGAAGAAAAAGCAACAATAAGGAAATTTATTGACTGTGGAAGGTGATGATAAAGCGGGGTCATCACATTTTTAATCCATACCGGCCAGACCTGAAAAATTAATTTACTTTGGAATACTTTCCAAAAATATTATTGAATCTAGTCATGCACGTAAACTTCACATATTTATATTCTAGTGAATTTGTCCGTTAGGTGAGGAAATTTTTTTAAATTGATTGGGTTAGTAAGAAGGTAATGCATTTGCTTATTTTTAATTTAATTTAATGTAATAGGTTAGAAGAAAAGGCAACGGGGGCAAAAATTAGAATATTCATTGACTGTGGTAAGGCTATGAGAAACAGGGTATCACATTTTCACTCCATGCGGGCCACACTTGAAAAAGCTAATGTTACTTTGCCATATTTTACTAGAAATATTATTCAGTCTAGTCTTGCACCCACCTTTATATGCTAGTGAGTTTGACTCTTCGGTGAGGAAAATATAAATTTATTGGGTTAGTTGGAAAATAACGCGTGAGGAAAATATAAATTTATTGGGTTAGTTGGAAAATAACGCGCTTGTTTATTTTTTTATGCTATATGATAGAATTAAAATCAACGAGAAGGCAATTCATTGACTATGGAAGTCGATGAGAAAGCGGGGTCATCACATTTTTAATCCTTGTTGGCCACATAATGATATTTCTAAATACTTTACTAGAAACATCATGATTCAATCAAGTCACAATCTTCGATTGTTAGGTGAAGAAAATAGATTACAATTTAAGTGAGGAAAATAAAAATTTGACTGGATTGTTATGTACGAGACTATATAAGGCAACGATACCTTGATCTTGAATGGTGTTAGTTCTTGTGAATTCTTGATATCAATTATATAAAGAAACTCATATTATATCCAGTTGCAATACTAACAGCACTTTTCAATTTTAAACTATCTCGAGTTTGCATAATGAATGCTATTGAAGATCCAGATATTGTTCACTTGTATACGAAAATACGCAATAATCCACACTACTTGGAAGTCCCCAGTGAGATGCCATTCGTGGAGTCACCTCTTCATACTGCTGCTTCACAAGGCCGTACTAGCCTTGCTCTTGAAATCTTGAGGCTAAAGCCTTTGTTGGGGAAGAAATTGAACCTCGATGGTCTTAGTCCATTGCACTTGGCTTTGAGTAATGGGCACACCAACACTGTGAGACGACTCGTCAAGCATAATCCGGTCCTCATTCGTGTCCCAGGGAGGGAAGGGATCACACTTTTACATTACGCAGTGGAAAAGGAGGACATCGATCTTTTGATTTATTTTCTTCTCATTTGTCCATCCTCAATAAATGACATGACCGTTCGAGATGAGACTGTTGTTCATATTGCTGTAAGAAATGAAAATCTGAGAGCTTTTAAGGTTTTACTTGGTTGGGCTGGAAGGACCCTTAATACGACAGTGCTTCCCTGGAGAAACGAGGAAGGCAATACCGTGATGCATCTTGCAGCATTAACAAACCAATCGCAGGTATGCTTCTATGACTAAATCTTCATTTATTTAATTGAGAATGAATTCCATAAAATCTCCTCCAATCAACTTTCATCAGTAAATGATTCCTTAACCCAACGCGGTGCCAGGAAGTACAACAGGGCTCATGTGAGGTTTGTCCGAACCATTGACATTATTGACCCTAGAAATCCCAAGAAAGTACCAAGCAAAGAATACAAAGTTTTTATCTAGTTCCATACTTTGGCCCGTTTGACGTAAGATTTTTTGAGAATATATTTTATGAAAAATAATATTTTTGTTGAAATTGTGATTAAAAGTATGAAAAATTATGAATTTACGTGCATAATTATTTTATTTTGAGAATGTTTGATAGAAAATTAATTTGGAGAAAAATGAGTTTTAAAAAGTATGTACCATATAAGTCCCACATCCAAGTTGAGATCTATTTTGATGGAGTCTCTTATACTAGATCTTCACCTGATTTCCTGGTTTAGAGTACAAATGGATGATTACAACAATTTAAGCTTAGCGTGAGATTACGTTTGGAGCCCCAGATTTTGATTGTCAAACAATCAAAATTATTTAGGTATTTGGTAAACTTCATATAATTCTAATCTTGAAAGGATACTAACCACGGATTTGAGAAGTTTATCCAATTACTCTTCATTAAACTGTTAATTTTGACCTTATGAATAAAATTGGTACTTGCTTACAGTATAAATTGAATTAAAAGAGTTTATTGATAAAACAACTACAATCGAATATTAATGTAAATACATTTAAAAAATATTCTCACTTCTCTGTGGATTTTGCCTCCTAAATTTACTAGTTTTCATGTTTCAACTAAAACAACTGAAGAAATAGTTATTTGAGAGTAAGATATTTGACTTGTATGCCTCTTTCTTCAAATGTGAGGGTATTTATAGATTTTCCTCCAAGCTCTGAGATAGATTGGTCATTTTCAAGTAGTGCTAGATGGCTACTCCTTATTGGTCATTTTATAACTAGTTCGATTAGGAGTCACGTTTTATTCATTTGCTCATATGCTTCTTATTGATAGTCAGTGTCCAATCTGCTTACCAAAAATAGTTCGTGACTCTTAGGTGAGCCTTTTGCATTTCCTTCCCTTCGCATGTTGCTTTCGACCTCGCTGATGAGTAAATGTTGCGAGGCGTATTCCTTGGTTCAACAGTACTTACAAGGTCCTTTGGTTTTATGCACATATTAGAACTTTTGCCACTATAAAGTATGTTTTTATTTTCCAGTTTCATGAATTTTGAATTTTTATTATTTTTTCTGTCAAAATAATTATGTGGAATCTACAGTCTTAGATAAATATTTATTATTACTCATATTCAGCAAACAACTGACGGAATAAAAGAATAACAATCAAGGGATGGCTTGAAACCCTAGCCTACTAAATAAAATAAAACATAATGAACTATAATTAAAGGATTATGAAAAGGCGGAACAGGTGATCGAGTTTGTATAACGGATTTATACTCAATACACTAAAAACTCCATTTTTCTAAAATCTGTAATTTTTTACTTAAGACTTTTTTTTTAACGTTATAGAATTTGTAAAAGTGACGTTAAGGATCAAAGTCCTAATCAACCTTTCACACCTACAAGTTTGACTGGAAACATGAAAATTGTCTCGAGGTCAAACTAGAACTTGAAGAGGATTGTGATTTGTGATCATGATCAATAGTTGATACTCTTCCAAATTGATACATCATGCAGAAAGCTCATCTATAAATTGGCTTAGTTAAAAACACCAGAAATTATAAAAATCAATAAAATTAAATGGTTCTCATTTTTCTTTAAACTGAGTATTGTTTAGTAAACACTATTTTTGTTCAGTTATAATTTTATATGACTGCTTGTTTATGGTTTCAGGTTATAAAGTCATTAATCCGGTATGTGCATGTGAATGAGAAGAACTTAGAAGGTAAGACGGCATTGGATATACTGAATCCTGAAAATGTAGAAGCAAGGAAAATTTTAATAAGCGCAGGAGCAAAAAAAGGTTCATCACTTGTCGATGATGCGACCAGTTGTGAAAATTATTTGAAGTCAACTATGACGAGGAAAGAATCGTTATTCCTATTTGGTGCTTACCTGGATTATGGCTTGTCAGGAAATATGCGAAACGCTTTCCTAGTGGTAGTTGTGCTTATTGCAACTGCTGCTTTTCAAGCTGCTCTCACTCCCCCTTTTTGGATTTCTCACAATGGTACCACTCCTGTTTTTCCCAGCATCACATCTGTTTATAATGAAACTACTTCAACCAATTCAACAAGCACCAACTTCGGCGAAAATACCCCACTGATTGCAAAAACAAGTGTAATTATGAACACGATAGCCTTTAGTCTTGCAATGGGAACGTGTACAATACTTACAAATGCTCCACTTCGATGATTAACGTGATATATTTATTTGTCGAAAACCATTTAAAATTGAATGAAATATTAAGTGTTAAAGTAACCCATATAAATTAAGTATTATGGAAGAATTTGATTTTCCAAACACTTATCCCACATAGGAATGTTAGGAAACTTTGGTGTGATTTATAAGGTGGAAGTTTGGAATTGGATTTGGGCCTCAAGGGGTACCAATAGTCTTTGGAAGGGGGAAGATCTATATAATATTGGGTTCGGTCATAAACCCACAGGTGCGCGTCGCCGCTGCCGTCCGTCCGGCCGGCTCGGCATAGCACGGCACGAGCACGTGCCCGTGTCCGAGTCCGGTCCGGTGCGGGTGCGGGTGGACCTTTACACTATATTAACTTTTTGGACAAAATTTATTTAAAATTTTAGGCCAAATTGTAAATAATCAAATTCTTGGGTACATTATGAAATTTAAATTTTGGCTTATTCCGGGTGTTTTATTTTCTTTTAACAGTCGATTGTTTATCGACCAAACAGTCGATTGTTAACCGACTTAATAGACACGACTTTTAAAAACAGCATGTCTGTTCGAATTTTTGAGGCTTGTCTGAAAGGTGATAACTGTTCAAATGGCCACGAACAAGTCTATAAATAGTCAGCCTCTCTACCAGAAAATTTATACCATTTTCATTGCAAACTTTCTGTACTTTGAATCTCATTTCCCTCTCTCTCGTTCTGATATTGTCTCGAAGTAAAACACACTTCGTTGAGTTCGTTGGAACTCCTACAGATTGCAGTGCTGCTTCCGTAGGAGACGAAAATTCGTTCTATCTTGGGAAACGATTGCTGGACGCCTTTAGCACCATTGAAGGCAGCAAATTCGTTTTAAGAAAACATCGTGAAGTCGGTGGGCTCGAATTACAATTTTGGATCCTATTGATCAATTCTTACATTCAGGTGATTCTGTCGGATTATTTTCGAAGAAGTAACTTCAAACTCCAGAAACAACACATTGTTCATTCATACATGCAACGCCATCCATATTATAAAGAACTTTACAAAATGTTAAATACATTTTCTGTTTTGAACATATAATAAATAATATTTTACTATATTTATTTTGCATGTTTTTCCCAATTGTTGTTTTTATTTTTTATTTTTTTTATTTTTTTTATTTTTTTGGGTTAATGTAACGTGAATTTAAATAAATAAATAAAAATTGGAATTTAGTTCATACTAGCCTCCAATCTTGAATCATGGCTACGCCCCTTATCCGCTTGTTTCGTACCTCCAATTTGAGGTGCAGCTTAATTGAATGTTTACTTATCTTCACTTCAATATACCATTCTACTTTGAATCCTCTACAAAATGCACTGTTTCTATTTGTATCAACACCGCTCAACCTTTTAATTTAATCTGAGCAACTTTCTTTAAAACATGTATGTAGAAGGAGCTAGGAGATTAATGTACAAATCTGTTCCGAGTATTACCATTGGTTAATCAATGTAATATTTATTAGCGAATAATAAAAACTTATAGAAAATGTGAATGTTTTGTCCATTTGTCAAAAGAATTATGGATTCTGGTTGGCCTTCCATGAAGTTATTGACTGAATATGACTTTTCATGATGGTTACATAAGATGGCGATTTAAAGAAATTTAGGGTGACACGAAACGCGGGAACGTTAGGTATTACTAATTAACTGGAGTTCAATGACCAGAGTATGTATTTACTAATTGTTAATTTAATTTCATGCAAAATAAAAATAAAAGATAAAAATAAGGGAAAGATAGCAAAGAGGAAGTGAATATTGTTATCTAACAACTATGGTGCTAGAGTACTAGTATATATGGTCACACTTAATAGATTCAATTAAATGAATCATGTTGATAAGTATATTTTGTGCACTTATTTGGATCATATTACTAAGCTTTTATGTCATGAAAGTATTGACTTCTACTTAATTAATCATTATTTATTTCAATGATGGACCTGTTTCGCAACAATTGGAAAAGAAGAAGGGTGAAATCCAAAGTATGAGGACTAAATTATAACACTTGAATAGTTGATTTGAACCATAATATGAAGATTAAAGATGTTATGGGTTCAATTGGACACAATTAGAAATTAAATGGTTGAAATTGCAAGAGAAAATATTTAAAAGAATCAAAAATTGAATTTGATAACTAAAATACAACATTTGAAAGTTGATATAACTGGATGAGTTATAATGCAATATTTCCACGTTGTTCATATTTTCAATTATTTTTGCATTTAAGTTTGTGTTTTACAAAATGAACTGTTTCTGTTTGTATCAACACAGCTCAACCTTTTAATTTAATCTGATGTCTTTATCAGCAACTTTCTTTAAAACATGTATGTAGAAGGAGCTAGAAGATTAATGTACAAATCTATTCCGAGTATTACCATTGGTTAATCAATGTAATATTTATTAGCGAATAATAAGAACTTATAGAAAATGTGAATGTTTTGTCCATTTGTCGAAAGAATTATGGATTCTGGTTGGCCTTCCATGAAGTTATTGATTGAATTTTTCATGATGGTTACATACAGGGCGGACCCAGACCTTTAGTATTGTGGGGTCAAAATTTTAAAAATAATTTTTTTAATAAACAACATAATATCAATGAAAATAAGTTTATATGTATTTTGACACGTTGAAAATGTCGTATAATTACATCATTATTAATATTATTAAATAAATTTTGCTACTTGTATAGTTTTGTTTATCATTTCATTGACAAATGCTGAGCTAACATTGAGTAAATTAAATTGAATATAGAAATTAAATGAATTGAAATAAAATTCAAGTTTAGTTCAGTAAGTGAATGAAATTCAAATTTAAAGCAAATATAATTCGAAAGTAATTCAAATTGCATTTAATCCATAACGACCCTAAAAAATTTAGGTCATATTTCATGTAAGACTTCCGAATGAAACGATATAAATTATATTGAAAAATTTACCGTGCAAAAATAATAATTAATTGAATTTTTAAAACAAAAAAAACGAGTTAGGCATTTTTTTTGAGGTGTACGTTTGATACATATTTAACTATTTTCGATATCAATTTGGACTATTCGATATGAAAACGATGTAGTTTTCAAAACAAACTTTTACATGACAAAAATGATTTGGGGATTCAGATAGCACATGATCACAAACAAATTTTTAAAGTTAGGATATTATCGAAATTCTTAAAATACTAGTTTCAAACGTCATACTTTAACATGTCATAACTTTTGTTATAGTTGACCACTTTGCGTGCCATTAATGAGTGAAAAATTAGGTCATGAGCACTTCAAAATGGTATTAAGAATGCAATATTTTGACTTTATTTGGCATCCCGACGAGTGCATCAAAGTGGATTTTAAATAAAAAAAAAAAAAAGCAAAATTTTGTGGGGTCATTTGACCCCACATGATCCCATGTGGGTCCGCCCCTGATTACATAAGATGGCGATTTAAAGAAAATTAGGCTAACACGAAACGCGGGAACGTTAGGTATTACTAATTAACTAGAGTTCAATGACCGGAGTATGTATTTACTAATTGTCAATTTAATTTCATGTTAAAAATACAAAATAAAAATAAGGGAAAGATAGCAAGGAGGAAGTGAATATTGTTATCTAACAACTATGGTGCTAAAGCACTAATATATATGGTCACACTTAATAGATTCAATTAAATGAATCATGTTGATAAGTATATTTTTTGTACTTATTTGGACCATATTATTAAGCTTTTATGTTATGAAAGTATTGACTTCTTCTTAACTTGTATTAATGATTATTTATTTCAGTGATGGACCTCTTTTGCAACAATCGGAAAAGAAGAAGGGTGAAATCCAAAGTATGAGGACTAAATTATAACACTTCAATAGTTGATTTGAACCATAATATGAAGATTAAAGATGTTACGGGTTCAATTGGACATAATTAGAAATTAAATGGTTGAAATTGCAATAGAAAATATTTAAAAGAATCAAAAATTGAATTTGATGACTAAAATACAACATTTGAAAGTTCATATAACTGGACGACTGTCCAATTCTATTGGCCAAGTTATAATGCAATATTTCCACGTCGTTCGTATTTTCAATTATTTTTGCATTTAAGTTTGTGTTTTATTAAAGTATGGGATTTCATTTTCAAATACTACACAAATTACCAAAATTAACAAAACAAATGATTTGGTGGTCTCGTTACTCAATAATCCATAGAAAAAAATAACAATTTGAATTGAGTTGACCACATTTTCATATGAAAATTATGAATAATTATGTGTTTACAACAGCATCCTTCTTTTTTTTCTTTTCTTTTTTTTTTTACATAAACATCTATAAAAAAAATAATATGCAAGATCAACAAAATAAATTACAGCTTCGAAGGAGAGAAGGTAAAATTTGGTTGGGAAAAATGGAAAGGGGGTGATCGAGGAATAAAATAAAGGGTGGTGGGGTAAGGAATCTAAAAGTCGAGAGAGAGAAACCTACCACCACTGATGTGGCAATGCAACATCAACGGTGGGCAATGTGCAGGCAATCAGTTCTGTGTCTTTAAAATCCATCATTACAAGTTATTACCCTCATCAAATTGCTAAATTTTCGACCCCAAAATTAGAGGGAAATACATGGAAATGACCTAAGTAAAGAGGTCATTTTTCCAAAATGATCTTTGACTAATTTATCAAATTAAAATACCCAAAATACCCCATCCTTTTGAATATTGCATAACAAGTCACTATAATATAGAAATCTTCCATTTTAGTCCTTAAAATTAAAAATTATTTGAATTTTGATAGATTTATTGTTTACAAATTTATTTGATTTATTTAATTTTTGTTCGCTGATAAGTGTATTTTATACACTTATTCGGGTGCTTAAAATGACAATATTTGGTGGTTCTTTTAACAAATTATATCCTAATTTTTTTTATTTTATGCTTAATAGATATATTTCACGATCAAAAAGGGAGTTGAAGAGAAGAAGCAAAAATGGGCGAAAAGTGGCAA